GATGGCAAATTGACGTACCACACGAATGCGGGACCGGTCAACGAGTTGCCAAACAAACGCAACTTCAAGAAATCACTCACATCACCACACTGAACCGTGAATCGTCCAACATGCTCGACGGTGGACTAATCCCCAGTTCCGCTGAAGATGATGAAATCAGGCACGCGAAAACCACGTGGAAAAGGGTAGTATCTATCAACCCAATCCAGATTTGGTTTTCGGTATACCGGCGGCATCACTGGTCTAATCCCTAAACCAAACTGATCTGCCAGCATCTGTGCTACCTGATCTCGAATCACATTAATGTCTTGCCCCCCGAGTTGCCACCCTTGTGGTACGAATCCACCAGGATCCATGCCAAGCCCGTTTGGAGAAGGTGGCACGTTTTGTGGGTAGCCGCGTGGCGGAACATGATCGTTGTTGATCGTTCCTCCACCACCAGTACCGCTCATCGGAGCCACGTAGGGTCTGGCCTCCGGGATATTTTGTGGACTCACATTGTGCACTAGTGGCGGCTCAACACGAGTGTTAGCTGCAGTGCTGGTCTGGCCAAGATTTACTCTTGACGGACTTGTTGGGTTCAACACCGGTGTCGGCGTAACGCCCTGTCTCGGCTGAGTATCTCGGCCGCCATTGACCGGAAGACTATTGGTGCTAGTGTCGTTGTGTAACGGATTGTCGCCGCTTAACGGCAAAGCCCTTGTTTGCGGCATTGGCCTATTCAAAAACTCTCTAAACTCATTAAAATCACCTATGTTACTTTCAAAATACATACTGTTTTTATATACGACTTCAACCAATTGGCTAACACGTCTATAAATCCGAGAGCTAAAACCATCAAGACGTCCATCCAAAGAGGCTAAGTGAAGTTTTACCTGTTGGTTATCAGCCATGACTTGGCGAAGCATGCGCGTTATCTCACCCTGGTCGGTAGTTTGCGCCACTGCTGGCACTTCCCCTCCGGCGTCGTTGCTCGAACCGCCGTTTGAACCGCCAATCTGGTCAATCTCTACATTGACCATTTGCTCTTCCTCCACTGAAGGTTGTGGAAGATCACCCTCGTGATTCCTCCGTCGTGGAGCCATTCGAACACACGGGTCCCACCAGGTGTGCCAATTTGTTTCGTTGGCGAAACTCGCGTGTTGAAAGTGCACTGTTTTCAACAAAACACAAAGTCAATCACAACCGTCAAATATCTGCCGCCGAATGTCGGCACCGTTGATTTGATCGATTACAAACAGAAACAAAGACGACCGTCAAATATCCACCGCCGACGTAGGCGATGTTGATTTGATCGATGCCCCTTTGACTTCTAATCAAACAACCGTTATTCGGTTCACCACCTCTCCAAACTACGTTCGAACGAGGGTTTTCGGCGAATAACCAGAAAATCGAACCAGGAGTGTTCTAAGCTACGTTACCTATACTCCTATGGAGGTTCTTCTGGAGAGCTCCGCAACTACGACTACGATCTACGACTACTACGACTCTACAAAGGAGGTCTTTGACAGAGAAGTTCTATGAACTGGAGAGAAAAACTGATAATCTGCGACGGTGCAATTTGTGATTTGATTTTGCCGTCTCGAGCTTCTCTCTCTTCCTAATCTTTATACTTCACTCTTCTCCCCGCAGTCGTAGTAACTGCATTCGCGCCTTTGTCTCCCACGTTCTTCATTCTTGTCAACCGGCGGGTAACTTCCTCCTTGGTGCATAACTCCCACGAGTGCGAAACGCTCTGCTACCTAGCAACTTGGCAAAACGACATTGAGCCACCCTTGTAGTTATCCACCCGGGTTCGATAATCCACCCCGACTCCTCAAGCCAAACTACATTCATCCTTGTTCATAAAACGGCGGCGTATCACAAACAACACCGCAACGCTGAGCTCCCAGCCTTGAAACATCGATGCACTCACAATATCAATGCCACTTTCGAGGGTGATTCATGGCTTACAACATTGCTTTCTAAACAACGTAGCTCTTAGTATCCCGGCATCGTCCAATTCCCACCATTGATGCTTATTGAATTCACGGTGTTGTTGAGCTTCTCAACACTAAACTAAAGCTCATCAACGTCGTCGAGCTCGCGACCTTGTTTTGGGCAAAACAGCATCACTTTCACGGCATTGTTAAACTCTTGCAACATTGTCTTTGACTAAACAATGTCGTTTCTTTCCTAGTATCGCAGTGTTGTTTTTACCTTCCGCGGCGTCGTATTCAACTAAACGACACCGTCTAAAATAATTATAAAATACTAATTAATTAAACCAGCCCTTATTGTTAACTCGCCGTCAAATTCTCATCCTTCGGCGCCGTTCTTAGTTAAACAACATCGTTTTTTAGTCCCGCGATGTCGTTGAGCTTTGAGCTTCGCGACACTGTTTTAAATTTAACACTGTCATTTTAACTATTGCGGCATCGTTGGGCCTACTCGCGGTATCGAATCTAATCCGCGGTGTCGTTTTTTCCCCTCTTGAGGGACACCGTCCTAAATAATCATTAAAAATATTAATTAATTAATCCGGCCATCACTAGTCAAACTTGTGTGTTGACCAACGACATCATTAGTGCCAAAACGGCTTCGTTTGCTTTTCCTTTCGCGACATTGTTTTTTTATTTTAAACACTGTCGTTTGCTAGTACAACGGTATCGTTGGGCTTACTCGCGGTACCGTTTTTAATTAAACGACACTGCTAACTTAGCCAAAAAATACCAATTCATTGAACCGCGGAGAGTTTGCACTCGCATTGGGCTGGGCGGATTTTGGTCACATACGCGATGTGGTTTTTAATTAATCGGTACCGCTTACCAAGGCCTCTTGCGGCATCGTTTTTAAATCCGCGATGCCGTTTTAATTCTCCGCTATGCCGCTTGTCTCCATGCGGTACCGCTTCTCCCCTTCCCACAAGGAATAAATAATAATAATAATAATCAAAACTCATTTTCCAACACCAACACCAAACGCGCGGCCCACCTCTTGCTTCCTGGTAAACGCTGTCGTTTCCAGTGTCGCGGTTCCGCTGAGCCTTCTTGCGGTACCGTTTTAACTCTCCGCGGTGCCGCTTGTCTCCATGCGGTACCCTTCCCACTAGGAATAAAAAATAACAATAATAACTCCTTTTCCAATACCAATACTACGCGCGCGGCCCACATCCTTTTTTCTGGTAAACAGTGTCGTTTCCAGTGCCGCGATACCGGTGAGCTTCCTTGCGGTACCGTTTTTCTGTTTCGCGGTATCGTTTTAACTCTCCGCAATGTCGTTTGTCTTTACGCGACACCGTTTTTTACCCGCGGTATCGAATTAAATGTCTAGACTAATTAATGCGGCATTTAATTCCGACCAAATTAATTTTAGGTGTCAACTTTCCAGCTATATTATGGTACCTGTGGAGATAGAGGAATAACCATTTGTTCAACAATCGAAAAGTGGATGAAGAAGACATTATACCGAGAGGTGTAAACTGGATAATAGATTACCAGGAGAATTAGCCGAGGACAAGGGGGTGTGCATGAACAATCTGATGGTGTGGGGAGATGGAATTGACACCTGATAGGACTTCTTAAACTCAATACGGATGCTAGAGTGTTGGGGAATAACATAGTGGGTCTGGGTGGAGTAGTAAGGGACTGCACTGGAGAATTTTGAATGGGTTTTGTAAGGAAGGAGGAAGGGAAGGTGCCAAGCAAAAGTGGCTGAAGCGAGAGCGTTTACTGAATGAATCTGGCAGTCTATTAGACGGGGTTTTCGGCTGCTAATTGTAGAAACTGATTGCCAAAGTTTGGTGGGGGAAATTGAAGAAGAAGACAGTTAATAGAATGGAGGTAAGAGGGATTTGCGCACATATATGGAGCGTGGTGGCGGAGAGTGTGGCAGATGGTGGTGGTTCATAGAATGGACGTGTAATTGATTGTGTTTTTGTTTCGAAAAGGGCCAATGATGTGTCCCATGGGTTTGCCCATTTAAATGGGTTATGAGATGGAAGGCATCTTGTAGTTTGATAGAGATACTATCCAAAGATTGTCAAACGGGCCTCATGAATCTTTTTTAGTATCATAATAAAGTTCATACAGGTTCCCATAAAAAAGAGGTTGTACTATCTAGGATGGGTAATGGGAAGGTTGGGTGAGTTCAGGGTTGTGTCTCTAATAGACCCATCTGCTTACTAGCGAGTTGGTATAATCATGATCCGCAATCCACCTGCATTCTTCTGCGGGTTGGATTGGGTGGGTGACGGATGAGTGCAGTTGGATTGTGGGTTAACTCACAAAAGAAATTCTCCAATTAGCCATGAAAAAGTTTACTAACATTAAGTTTTTTTGTAAATTAGTAAAATTGTATCAATTCACCTCTCATTTTTGACGCAAGAAAATCCATATATTATTAGTATCAAAATAGTAAATACTCTTTCAACCAATCGACAAAACTTATGCATTTATGTAGAGAAATTGACAAAACTGACGCATTTTGCGACTTTGATAAAATTAATACTTTATGATTTGCATCTAATATCTAATTGATATAATAACAAATAATATATTCCAAAAGTATTCTTTATTCTCCATTTTTAAAAGTAGATAGTCAATTGTAGTGCGGTTGAGAAATATGATAAATATTCGATAGCTTAAGAAACAACATTTTGTCATGTGAAAATATAGTGCGAGTCATTCGGGTGACCTGCAATCCACCCACCACCCACCCACATAATGCAGGTAGTAAATTTATCAATCCGTAATCTACCCACATCAATCACATACTGCTTACAGTTCGAATTATTTACGAATACATCGATATCAACCCGCAAATCAACCAGTGTGCCCACCCCTACACCTAGTACTACCACTATGAAATCTAAAATGACTAATCTATGGGTAAAAAATTCGTCAAATTTTATACAGCGAACCATAACAAATTGGATCTACACGAGATGGGTTTGAATCTTGCAAGCTTTAGGCCCAGGCCTCAATTTTGAGGGCCTAACTATGCGAATCTTGTCCCTTAACCCTCCAAATTGTGCCGTATCTCACCGCTTCCCGCGGGTACCTAAATTAGGGTTGTGGAGCTACCGGACGGAAATCGAACTCTTAACTCAAAGAGTTCCAAAGCCTTTGCCTCCTCTTCCTGTCGTCCTTTGCTCTGGTTATTTGTCCGACCTCGAGTTCTTTCATCGGTCTAACGCATCCATCGTTCGCCTCCGATCGCACAGGAAAATGGGCGCAAAGGCTAAGAAAGCTCTGAAAACTAAGCTGAAGAAGGTCGCGGCTGCATCCCAAGCCGCTGAGAAGAAAGCAGCAGCAACTACTGCCGATTTCCTTGTAGGGTTCTCGTCTCGAGTTCTATTTTCATTCCAAAATGTGAACTACTTGCTCGTTTTCTGATGGCTGTTCGGTCGTATGTCTCTCTTTAAGCCACTGGAAGGTGGAAAAGGGCGAAAGATACCGGAAGGGAAGCAGCCGGAAGGAAGTACTGCCAAGGCTACCGTATTGTACATTGGTCGGATTCCTCATGGTTTCTATGAGAGCGAAATGGAAGGTGAAAACTCTCTGAGAATTTGGTTGACGCCTTTTTTTTAGTCTCCGTGCGCTAAAACTGTTGCTTGCTTGTTTTTTCTGACAGCTTACTTTTCACAATTTGGCAAGATTAAGAGATTGAGAGTTGTCAGGAACAGGAAGGTTAGATCTCCGAACTGTTTGTGTTTATTGTTTCTATGCGTGGTGAATTGTTGTATAGATAGTTTAGGTGTTACAGAACCTTAGTTTCTGAGGAATTTTCTTAGTCTAAAAAGCTCATTTCCGAATCGAACTGGCCATAGTTTTATTGTATGGTTGGTACTGGATAACTGACCTGACATTTTGCTTTACAGACTGGAAAATCCAAGCACTATGGATTCCTTCAATTTGAAGATCCTGAGGTTGGATTCTCTTCTTTTGTGAATCAGTACCAGAGTGCTTGTATGAAGTGGCCTATGTTGCATAATCTGACGATGGTTTGGTTGCAGGTAGCGGCAATTGTAGCGGATTGCATGCATAATTATCTTCTGTTTGAGCATCTTCTGCAAGTCCACCTTATCCCACAGGAGCAAGTTCATCCAAAATTGTAAACCCCATGTCTACTCTAGGAATGTGATGTTTTATTAGTTTGTAGTTCAGTTATATAGCTTGCTGACTCTTTCCATGTTGTCTTCCTTCTACTGCAGGTGGAGGGGTTACTTTAAATACCGACCAGTGGACCGGGTAATGATTCAACGTAAGAGGCAGAACAAGGTAGCTATGGGATACTGTTTGATATCAAGTTTCTTGTGATACATTAAGAACACTAATGTTCCTTTTTCTTAAGGATTTAAGATGATATTCTCAAGTCTGCATTCTGTTCTGTCATTGCAGGAGAGAACTCTCGATGAGCACAAAAAATTGGTGCAAAAGATTACAAAGCAGAGTAAGAAGCGACAAAGAACCATAGAAGCCGCTGGGCTTGATTATGTCTGCCCTAAAATTGTAAGAATCTTGTTTCCTGTTGATATTTCTTCTGAAAATAGTCCATTATCTAATACTCCGCCATCCCAACATGCGAAGTGAATAATTCTTTGGGTCATATTACATCTGCTGATGTGTGATACCATTCAGTGCATAGTTATTTGTAGATGTTACTGCTTGGGAAGCTTTGGCCGTAATTTATTATATGACTTGAGCGTGAGCCATTTATGAGGGTGAAACAGCATATTATTTAGAAAAGCTCTGAATTTGGGAACTCAGATATGAATGGAACGATCAATGGATCGGAAACAGGTTCTCCTAGGTCGTAACTAAGCGACGGTAATAAAATCAGTAAACGATGAGTCAGCCTCTGTTTAATGGTTGATCATCTGTTTGCCTAGCAAGTCAGAGACGTGTTCTGAAATCTGAGCCCAATTTTTGCAGGTAGGTGAAATGTTACAGGCTCCAAAGAAGATCAAGTTTGCTGAAGACTAGGCCCATTCCAGAACTTCAGGTGGTGGTTTTTCGAGGTTTTCTGCAGGAGATTGAGAATTCAGAACACAGTGCTGGTGTATTTCTGAAGTAGGGTTGAGGTAGTCTTGACAGTGGCAATTCCTGTGGTTGATACAGAAATAGAAGATGAAGGAAGCGCCTCAAAAGGGTAGGTATTTTTGTAAGACATGTTGTGGCCTTTCAAAAAGACGATTATAGGTGCGATATGGTAATTTAGACTGCTCGTATTTCGTGTTAATGAATCATGAAAATGTGCTCAGAAGAATCGATTTTGGGTGGTGGAAAACCTACACATCAGCTCAGCTGCTCTTTCATTTTTATACTCTGTTCTAAATCCAGATTACAGATAATCGACAGGTGTCACCGTAGCATTGGTTCACTTTAAACAAACAGTGATTAGTTAACGGCTAACCTGTCTAGACAAAACGGTGCGCAGCACCTTACATTAAAACAGAATTTAGAAACGTCCTCTGGAGACTGAAACGTTTCCTTTGGCCTTCGTCTTCATTCTTCTGCAATCCTGTCTTCATCTGGATTTGATGTTCTGAACCAATTCTGTCACCCCCCTTCAAGTTGAGGAAGGAAGAATGACTCCCAACTTGACCAACAGTTCTTTCAGCCTCACATGATGAAGACCTTTAGTGAACAAATCAGCCAGTTGGTTCACAGTACTAACATGCTGCAATTTCACCAGACCTGTCTTAATTCTTTCCCTTATGACATGAATGTCAATCTCTATGTGCTTGGTTCTCTCGTGAAATACAGGGTTTTCTGCAATATGAATTGCTGACCTGTTATCACAATATATTGTGATTGGTGTAGGAACTTGAACACTTAGTTCTTCCAGCAATCCCTTCAACCATTGAACCTCACAAACAGCCATAGCTAGTGCCCTGTATTCTGCTTCTGATGATGATCTAGACACAGTTGTCTGTTTCTTAGTTTTCCAGGTTAGTAAGGACTTACCTAGGAAGGTGCAGTACCCTGTTGTTGATCTCCTTGTATCAGGACAGCTAGCCCAATCACTGTCACAAAAACCAGTAAGCTTCAACTCAGAAGTGCTGCTGAAGTGTATCCCTTGGCCTGGTCCATTCTTCAAGTACCTAATAACTTTGAAGGCAGCTTGAAGATGTTCCTCGTGAGGATTTTTCTGGAATTGGCAAAGTTGTTGGACTGCAAAGGTTAAGTCTGGCCTTGTGATGGTAATGTAGTGTAATCTGCCTACCAACCTTCTGTACTGTTCAGGATCTGCTAATGGAGTTCCTTCTTTACCTGACAACTTTACTTTGTAATCAGTAGGTGACTGACAGCCTTTTGCATCCAAATACCCTGTGTCTCTTAGAAGTTCAAGACAGTATTTTCTCTGGCAAACATTGATGCCATCTGCTGTCCTTGTAACCTCTAATCCCAGAAAGTATTGTAATGGACCAAGCAATTTGATTTTAAATTCCTTGCTCAAAGCTTTCTTTACCTGATCTATGTCCTTCTGAGCATCTCCTCCCACAATAATATCATCTACATAGATCAGGACCACTACAATCCTTCCATGAACCCATTTAGTAAACAATGAGTAATCTGATGCAGACTGACTAAAACCAGACTTCATAAGAAAGCTGGTTAGCTTAGCAAACCACTGTCTGGACGCTTGCTTGAGTCCATAAAGTGATTTCTTAAGCCTACATGCCATTCTCTGTGATCCAGCAGTTTCAATCTCCATCCCTGGTGGTATTTCCATGTAAACCTCCTCATTTAAATCACCATGGAGGAATGCATTTGACACATCCATCTGTTCTAGTGTCCAGTTCTTGACTGCTGCTATGGCCAACAATGCTTTCACAGTGTTTATCTTAGCAACTGGACTGAATGTATCAAGGAAATCTATTCCATACACTTGTGTAAAGCCCTTTGTCACTAACCTTGCTTTATACCTCTCTATTGAGCCATCTGGTTTGAGTTTAATTTTATAAACCCACTTGTTTCCTATGACCCTCTTTCCATCTGGTACTAATACAATGTCCCAGGTTTGATTATCCTCAAGTGACTGACATTCTTCCCTCATTGCTCTTCTCCAGTGTTCACTCTTGATGGCCTCCTTGTAAGTCAGTGGCTCATCCTGTAGAATAACACTTAATGCATACAATCTGTCTGCCTGATTCAATTCTTCCAGATTGTATTCAATGGGGAATCTTGTTACTGTGGCATTGACACCAAATCCTCCAAAGGTAAGACTGGGATCAAGTTCACAGTCATCAAACTTCTTTGGAATTTTATAATTCCTTTTTGGTCTCACAACTGGTTCATAATCATGTTGTGGTACCAATTCAGGCTCAGGTTCAAACATGTCATCCCCCTCTTCAGCCAAGGCTGATTCAGGAGAATGAGAAGATGAAGGCCGAGACAGTGGTGAGGTAGGCTGAATTGGTGGGATAAGAAGATCAGGGGCTGATGAAGAAGGGTGTGGGGTAGATGTAGTGGGAGTTGTGTCTGTTTGAGAAGTAGAGGGTGGAGAGGAAGAGGTTTCAGTTCTGTAAGGAAAGATGGACTCATAGAAGGTCACATCCCTTGAAACAAAAACTTGCTGAGAGCTGAGATCCAAAAGCTTGTAACCTTTGATCCCATGAGGCAAGCCTAACAGGATGCACTGCCTAGCTCTAGTGGCAAATTTAGTTCTCCCATGTGCAGGGGTACCAGCATAGACTAAACAACCAAAAACCCTCAAATGTCCAAGGAAAGGAGGTTTGTCATACAAGATTTCATATGGGGAACGATTAGCTAGGACAGGAGTAGGCAACCTGTTTATCAAATAAACTGCATGTAAGATGCAGTCACTCCAAAACTGGAGAGGGACACCAGACTGAAACCTGAGGGACCTAGCCACATTTAAAATGTGCTGGTGCTTCCTTTCAACACGAGCATTTTGCTCTGGGGTATAAACACAAGACATCTGGTGTTCTATACCCTCAGCTGTGTAGAAATCACACATGTTGAACTCCTGGCCTTGATCACTTCTGATGGCCTTAACAGTTGTATTAAACTGATTTTTAACCAACATACAGAACCCTTTCAACAAGTCTCTGGTTTCATTCTTACTATGCATCAGATAAACCCAGACAGCTCTGGAGCAGTCATCAACAAGTGTAAGAAAATAGCTATAGCCATCATAAGACACAACTGACAAAGGACCCCAAATATCCACATGAACCAATTGAAATAACTTGACTGCATTGTTAGTGCTAACAGGGAAAGGTAGTCTCTTGTGTTTGGAGAAATGGCAAATATTACAATGATCAACTTTAGAAGGAGTTACAGAAGGATCAACATGCTGTAACATACTAAGCCTATCATTGCCAGGGTGGCCTAATCTCCAATGCCACAGATCTACATGTTGAGGAGTGAAATTAAATGCACTGGCAGCTTGACTTTGGTAAGTGGAGGGTGAATTTGGTGGTTGAGTTGTGAAGATGAGCTGGTAAAGACCTCTAAGTTCTCTTGCTAAACCAATCGTCTTCTGGCTTAGAAGGTCCTGAATGTGACAAAGATCAGATTGGAAAAGTAAGGAAATGGGAAAATCATGAGTCAATCTACTCACTGAAACTAGATTGAATGTGAAACTGGGGACAAGCAGAACATTGTATAAAAACAATCCTGAGGGCAGCTTTACAGTTCCTATGTGACTAACTAGCACTTTGGAAGAATTAGGCAGATGAACAAAGGTGTCTGTGACTGCTCTATGATCTGTAAAGAGCTCTAAGGAACATGCAATATGATCTGATGCTCCAGTATCTAGTATCCAGAAGGAGCTTTGAATGTGCAAACTATCTATAGAAGAGAGCACATATTTACCTGAGAAATTGGGGAAAGGAGGTAAACACTGAGACACAGAGTAGGCTTGGTGTTTGATTGAAGGTGAGGTGGGAGGTGAGGGACTGGAGGTGGGTGTGGAAGATGGGTGATTGTTAGCACCAAAATGCAGCAAGTACCTCAACCTGTTCATTTCTTCTGGGGTGAATCCAGTGGGAGAAGGACTTACAGTGCTGTCATTTGAATAGCTACCATCACTTTGTGTTTCATTTCCACTTGAACTACCCTGAGAAACAGATCCTGCAAACCTTGGATTCCTGTTTGGCTGTCCTCCCTTTTGCTCCAATTCCTTGTTCTTCCTCTTAAGTGTCCAGCATTCCTCTATATTGTGACTTGACCTCTTACAAAACTTGCAATATTTCCCCCCTGGGCCTCCTGGTGCCCTATCATTGGATTCAGTAGACTTCCCAGTATCCCCACTCACTGCAAGAGCAATGGTTTGTGCTTTCTTCCCAGAAGAATTTGCTTTAATCTCTTGCTCATGCTGCAGGAGATCATCTACTGCATCAGCCACACTTGGTAATGGCTTCAACATGAGCAATTGCTTTTTAACTCCTTCAAACTCAGGGTTGAGACCACGAAGAAATCTGATAAGGTAATCAGTTTCCTGTTTCTGATTATAAGCAATCACTGCAGTACACTGAATAGGATTTCCAGGAACACAGTTACATTCAACTACTGGGCTGTACTCTGTGTATTCATCCCACAATCCCTTAATCAGAGTATAGTATTGGGTAATTGTCATGGTTCCTTGCTTGCACCTGTGGATCTCATCCTCTAGATTTGTCAACCTGTTAGCATTCAATTGACCAAATCTACGTTGGAGTTCTTCCCACAGAGTCTTAGCATTTTCATGACTCATAACAGATCTCTTGATATCCTTTTGAAGCGAATTTAAAATCCAAGTAACTACTGCAATGTTGCAGCTATCCCATAGAAGAAAACTTGGGTCATTTCTCGCTGGTGTTGCTATGGACCCGTCAATGAAGCCAAGCTTATGCTTCATTTTTAGTGCCTTCTTCATGGATCTACTCCACATTGAGTAGTTACTACCATCTAGAGACTCAGAAACTATGGGTTGAGTGAAACTCTCATTTGGGTTTAGGTATAGAGGATTACCAAACTGAATGACCGTGCCTCCAACTTGGTAACCAGTGTTGTTGTTGGCAGTGCTGCTGCCATTGTTGCCGGAACCAGACACACCAGACGGTGTCCCTGGTTGTTCTGAGTCGGCCATTGCGTCGCGGAAGCTGGCCTAGGTCGGCCGCTCTGATACCATGAAAATGTGCTCAGAAGAATCGATTTTGGGTGGTGGAAAACCTACCCAGCAACTCAGCTGCTCTTTCATTTTTATACTCTGTTCTAAATCCAGATTACAGATAATCGACAGGTGTCACCGTAGCATTGGTTCACTTTAAACAAACAATGATTAGTTAACGGCTAACCTGTCTAGACAAAACGGTGCGCAGCACCTTACATTAAAACAGAATTTAGAAACGTCCTATGGAGACTGAAACGTTTCCTTTGGCCTTCGTCTTCATTCTTCTGCAATCCTGTCTTCATCTGGATTTGATGTTCTGAACCAATTCTGTCAAATCAAACTAAATGCCCTTTCCAGTGAGCAAATATTGGTACACTTGATGGCATTCTATTTTAAGCACTCTGGTAGCCGAACGAAATAGCACAACCAAAATGGCAAAATGGACCAAATCGACCCGACCCTCTATATTGTGGTCAGATATAAATTGATTTGGTTAGTTGTCAACTTAATGCATCTTATTCGAGCTTTCATGAATACAAATATCACACCTATTATTCATATTATTCAACAAATAATGTAATACACTCTTATTTTAAACTAGTTTTTTGACCCGTGCTTCGCGGTGGTAACAAAGTAATTAATTATTTATTTAAATAGTGTGGGCTGTGGGGGTAAAATAGTGTTTGGTAAAATTGGGTTTGGGTGTAACTTTTTTTTTAAATGAGTTCATTAAGATTGCAAAATGGGCCAAGCCCAACCGGTAAAGATACAAATGGAAACAAGAGTAAACAGAATCAAGACAAAAAGGCCCAAAAAAGAACTGGATACCCAATAGGGCTCGGTCCAAGAACCCAAACATTGTCAAAACCCCATCAACCCTAGCTGACCGTCCGTTTCCCTCTGGACTCCTCCATCGCCGCAGCCAACTCTCCACCACCCCTTGAAATCGACAGCCGCGTCGACCCCCACCAGCCACCGCCAACTCTCGTCAAAACGGTAGGAGAATGGAACGCGTTAGGGTGGTTACTAGATTTCTAGTAGCCACCATGGCTACATTACTATCTACCATCTATTTTTCACTTTTTTCTATTTTTTTAATCTCATGGTTAAGATTGTTTTAGGGCAATTTTGGAAGAAAAGATAAAACCACACCTGATTATTCTATATATTCTACCCTAACCCTAATTATACTCTCTCGCTCCATCCAAACCCTCCTCCCTCTTAGGGATGGAAATGGGTCGGGTTGGATCGGGTTTTGCCAAACCCAAACACAAACCCATGGGTTTATCTTTGAAAAAAACCCGGGGTAAAACCCACTGGGTTTGAAAAACTCAAACCCAACCCAACCCGTTGGGTATCCGCGGGTTCATGGGTACCCACGGGTTTTGTCGTAAAAAATTTACAATTACAAATTCTTATCAAAATTAAAGTCAAATATAAATCTCTCAATACAAATTATCCATATATAAAACACCATTCTAGAAAATTCAAGCAAATCACAAATCAACTATACAAATTGTTCAACACCAATCTAGAAAACTCAAGAAAATTGAAGCAAATCACAAATTATCCATAAATAACATGTTTAATTGAAAGCTTCTTCCTTTCAATTAAGTTTCTTTACTCTCCACTCCATAACATCAACTTCATTCTACACAATTAAAAAGAAAAAATTAGACATGTCTCCACAAACATAAATAAGATTAGTTGTTTAGAATATTAAATATACCGAAAAAAATAATTATATGGGTCGGCGGGTACCCACGGGCCGGGTTTACCTAAACCCAAACCCAACCCAACCCGTTGAATAGTGAACGGGTTTAAACCCAAACCCGGCCCAAAATCCGTCAACACGGATTTTACCCGCGTTGACCGGGTTGGGTCGGGTGGGTACCCGTGAGTTCGGGTTTTGTTGCCATCCCTACTCCCTCTGCCCCATCCCAACCCCGGCCGCCGTCCCCATCTCCAATTTCCACCTCCTGCCGCCTCCGTCCCCATCTCAAACTTCCTCCCTGCCTTCTCTCTCCCCTCTCCCATCCCTCCTCCTCGCCCCACCCCCATTCCCCCTCTCTTGCAAAACCCACTCCACCCCCCCCCTCTTCATCCCCCTCTATCTCTCCTGCAAATGAAGGCTAGGAAACATAAGAAAATTGGGGGAATTGACTAGAGAATATAAGACTAGATGGTTGCTTTGAAGGTTTCACTCACTCCTCTTGCAATCTCTTTCTCACACAGGCGGGTGAAAAAGGTGGGATGAATAAAAACTCTAGATCTGATTTTTTTCGCATTGGTAGTGATTTTTTCGTAGTGGTAGTATTTTTTCGGATTGGTATTGTTTTTGTCGTATTGGTATTGATTATCATGTAATGGTATTAATTTGCATGTATTGGTATTGATTAATTTGCAATGGTATTGATTTTTTGTGAAATGGTATAGATTTATATTGGTAGATTGTTTATATTGGTAGTTTTCGTGTAATGGTATAGATTTATTTCTGCAATGGTATTGATATTTTTCAAAGTGGTAGTGGTTGTCTAATGGATTGGTAGTGATTTCGTGTTTATTTTTCTTTTGCAGAAAGATTGAGAAAAATAAGGAAAGTGGATCTGGCTGGAGATTATGGAAGTGAGAGAAAGAGATAGAATTGTAATTAATAGATTCTTGTAACTACCTAAAATATAATTTATTAAAAAAATAATTAATATAATTTATTTTTCATACCCAATTTACCCTTAGTAACCATGGTGATTACTACAAAATAGTAATCACCCTAACCTGTCCCGTAGGAGAATCCACCAAACCCGAACTGACAGGGAGAGGAAGAGGGCCTCCCATGCAACCCGCCCCGAGCCAATCGCCATCAGCTTCCACCGTCCAAATACGGGGGAACCCATCAGAACTACCGACGACCGATGAAGAAGCCAGAGAGAAGAAATCTTCTGCTTTCAAAGCTCTCTAGACCGTGCCCTCGCCAAGGGCTCCATCTCCGAAATCCCAAGATCTGCAAGGGAAAACATGGAGGTAGACAAAGGAAAGAAGAGGAGAAAACAAGCCAGATCTGTGATAGATCTGGCCACCATTTTGCATCTTAGATCGGACACCTCTCCAGCTCTGAAACAACAGAACAGAGGACAAAATACTCAACCCACTGAAGGGGAGGAACAGATCCCACCAAGGGGAAAGGAAAACCGACTAAATCGAGGATAACCCAAGCAAAGACAAGGCAAGAACAAATTTAAAGAGAAGGCAAAGAAAGGGAGAAAGCATAAAAAAGAAAAGAGGGGGCGGAGGGCTGCCGCCGGTCGCCGGAAGGGTGCCGGCGGCAGCCCCCATGGCTACTTGGGAAGATGGGTTAGAGAGAAGGAAGAGGAAAAAATCATGAGAGAGAAGGGACGGTAGTGGTTTAATTGAGTGTAGAGTACGATGAAGAATGAAAATGTAGTTGTCTAAAGGTTAAAACACAATTGTGATGAAATTGGGTAGGAGATGAAAAAAAATTTACATAAACAATTAACTATGGTAAATAAGAGCTTATCATAAAATTGAATGTATAGTATAAATTTAAATGAGTGGAATCTCAAGTTCACTATTCTTTTCTGCTTCTCTACTTGAATGAATGAGAGATTACTAATAGCAATGGATCAAAAGAGCAGCAAATTAGAATACTTATGTAGGAAACCTATTTCTAGGGTCCTAACGTTTGAATGATAAGATTGGGAATTGATAGATATTTAGGGATTGAGATAGAATTGGGGAAGAACAGAATTGAGAATTAGGGATTTAGAAGAGGAAATTGGGGATCGAGGAGAAGAATGGCCGTCGGCCTAGGGATAGATGACGAAATTGAGAGAGATTAGGGTTTGAGATACTGTTCTGAATAATTGATCTTGCTTGCTTATGAATAAAACGCAGAGTACATATTTATAACGAAAGATAGGAAAACCTAATACTAAACCTAATTCTACTAAAAGACTACTAACCATATTTAATAAAACCTAATAATAATGATAATATAGAAACTCGTTTTCCTTAGAAAACGTGTTTCTAACATCCCATTCCCCTTGAGACCAACCTTGCCCTCAAGGTTGATCGACTCAACCCACTTCTTCTTGACCTTCCGCTTTCTTCATTTCTAGTTGTGCTCAATTTCATGAATGAACTCTTCTCGCGCAACTCCAACTATCCTCGAATCTCCTTCACCCACGTGACATATGTCACCTTCATCATAGCCGAACAATTTTTCCTTCTCGAACTCAACAAAATATGAATCGGGAAATCGTTCTTCTTTATGCTCTAGCTTGTGGTCTTCAAGAAATTGATCCATAAATTTCATTATGGGCTTGGTGGCTAAAACAACCCATAACTCTTCCCACCCTACTATTACTTTTCCTTGGATTCGGCCCATAATAGTTTGGAGGGAGGAGTTGGAGCCCAAACCAGTAAGAAGCTCTACTTGACTCCACTCTTCCCTAAACTCGAGTGGGCCTGGATTTCTTAAAAGCCCACCATACAAATTTGGCCCATCTTGCTTGTCTAGTTGGCCCAGCTCCTGCCAACTACTCATGTCCACTTTCTCCAAAAGCCAGCTTAGTCTAGGCCCAACTTTCACCAGCCATAGTTCTGGCCTGTTAGCAGAGTTGGCCCGACCCACTTGGCCTAATGGTGAGGTCTCCTCCCTAGGGTTGACGAGGGAGAGAGGGAAGCGGCCGCCGCCCTCCTTCTTCTTCGGCGACTTTGGCTCTTCCGGCGAGCGATTCCTCCGGCGACGATCAGGCCAGCACGAACCCGCCATCATCATCAGCGTCGCCTTCTGGCTCCGCCGGCGACGAGCAGCCACGCATGCGACATAGAGGCCAGCCAACTTCCATCGTCGTCTCCGACTCCGCTCCCACGTCGTACGCCTCTTTCCTCTCTTCCTTTGGCGGCGGCGCATTACCCAGGCGGAAGGAAGGCAGGCCCGATCGGCGACCTTCCTCTCGTCCTCCGTCCCGATTTCGCACGCGGCCTCGTCAGTCGTTTCCTCTGGCAGGCCCGGTGTGATCGACGGTGTCGTGGTGTGATCTCCCCCAGCCTCCGTGGCTGCCGCACCTTGCTCCACGACCTCCTCTACCGTGGCCTTGGCCTCTCCCGTCGTCTCCACATCCTTATCTCGCCTGGCGCCAGACAGCTCGACCGCCGGCTCTTCGGGCAGCCAACGGCGGCCGATGCGACGGGCTCTGTCCCGCAATTTTGCCCACGACAGGTTCGAGAGCTTTGAAGAGCTCATCGTCGAACCAGTTGTAGAAATCGTCCCCGGTTGAGAGTTGTGGTGAACTCAATTCTCGAACCAGGCTCTGATACCAGATGTAGGAAACCTATTTCTAGGGTCCTAACGTTTGAATGATAAGATTGGGAATTGATAGATATTTAGGGATTGAGATAGAATTGGGGAAGAACAGAATTGGGAATTAGGGATTTAGAAGAGGAAATTGGGGATCGAGGAGAAGAATGACCGTCGGCCTAGGGATAGATGACGAAATTGAGAGAGATTAGGGTTTGAGATACTGTTCTGAATAATTGATCTTGCTTGCTTATGAATAAAACGCAGAGTACATATTTATAACGAAAGATAGGAAAACCTAATACTAAACCTAATTCTACTAAAAGACTACTAACCATATTTAATAAAACCTAATAATAATGATAATATAGAAACTCGTTTTCCTTAGAAAACGTGTTTCTAACAACTTAGATCTTAATTACTTTGTTAGCCGCAGGCAATTACATTGCGGTACACCATAGGGGCAGCTTCAGTAGAAAATTCTATTTTAACTCGGAAAATTCGTAATGAACAGTGCCGGGTCATTAAGTTACTTGCGGTTTAATGATATAATAATAATAATAATATACACAATTGTTGTTTCGATTGCACCTTTGGAACTATGCATTCATTTATTAATATATTTTTTATAATACAAGATTAGTTCATCATTATCATTATCCTTAGGGTGTGCAATCAGATATCACATATACTTATGGAACCATGCATTTCGTTCATCGTTATTGATTGGAATGGGTACTAGTTGCCGCTAGAGGCGTCTATCTAGGGTAGCTACTAGCCATGAATCAAGACTTGATCAATCTCCAGTCCAGGGAAGCTGCCACCATTAGAGTGGTTCGCCTGTAATCCAGCGTCGAAACATGGCAAAACATTCAGAGGGCTTGTTTTCGGGAGCCGTGTGGCCTGCACCCTGCCAAATTGATGAATGATTGGTAGAGTGATGCTTCAACTTATGGCTCTTAGTAGTAGAATTGAAGGAAGCAAAATCACTTAGCTGTACCTTGATGGTTGCAAATGTCATGAGATTGAAGTATCTTGGATCAGAATAAGTCCTTGTGTATCTTGTTGATAAGGGAGAAAGAATGTGCAAGTTAGCTGGAAGAAAGATGTTATTACAATGATAAATGAGAGGAAGTGAATATCTCTTACCCAGCAACCTGGTTGTTAAGCAACCAATGTCTCCATTCCTCGACTATCCTAAAATTCAGACTTCGTATCTATTCCAGGGTCCCCACGTACGACACGATCATGTCATGATCCCCACTGTTTCCAACCAGATCAACAGGCTCCATTGGTATCATTCACGATGATGATATCGTGCGCAAGAACAAGTTATAGCGAAGTTTCGAACCTGTAGATTAAGGAGCGGTAGCCCTTTCTAGCTAGCTGCAGATGAAACTCGGTACTGCTAGGGATATCATACGTGTAACGCAACCTCGAACTGCATCTCTCCCATGTCCCTATTGTCCCCTGCACTCCCACATAAACCACCAGTCCGAGTAACGATCTCTAGGACGAGGATTTCTAGTCCGAGTAACGATCTCAGCAGAGATTGTTACCTTTCTAACGTGGAGAGCACTCTGGACGGCTTCATCATTGGCCCAGTACTTGGACAGTAGATATGCAAAAGTCTGCACAGAAAACATAAGCCCAAGGATATTTGCAAGTAGCAACAAAGGAAAAAGAAGCGGGAAAAACTCGAAAAGATGCTTGTGAAGGTTAGAAGAGTGTTTCACATACAGGACAGCCAAGTGTGGGAAGTGGCTCTGCCTCCAGTTCCAACGACTCTTGAAGAGACCTTGATCTTCTTCGTACCATCATCGTCGGCCTGGGTGAAGCATAAACGCAATGGGGTAACAAGATCTGCGATTGTTCGAGTCCTGATATGCACTGAACCAGGTTCCCCCAACCAATTAGTGATCAGTTGATTCAAATTCGAAGCCCGAATCTTTCAACGAACTGTGATGGTGGGTTTTTGTTACCTTTTCGAAAACTCGTACGTGTTTGAGGCACTCGGAGTTGGCAGGATCTACGTTGTAGTATTCTCCATGGCAACTTCTTGTCAACGACTGCATCAGATATGTATGCAATTAAACTGAATACTTGCCAGGTTCAGACAGAGGGAACAGAAACAATGGATCCAATGAAACCTCGTAGAGCTCATCCGGAATCAAGGCCATTCCATGAGCAAATTTGATCTTGGAGTTATGTGCGATGGTTGCATTTGTCACACCGTTACCAACCAAATAACCCATGAGACTGATCACTGGTTCCATTCCTTGTTCATTCTCTGATTATTTCCAGAACGTTAAAGACAGTAAGTTTGCAGCTAGCTACACATAGGAAACTCTTTTACCAGTGCATTAAGCCTGTTAAGATTGTAGTGTAACTACACGTCTTTACCATTGGCGATTCGGAGAGCTACGCCAGGGATAAGAATGCCAGCGTAGGAGTCACCACCGATGTACACCGGGTTCGACTTGAACTGTTCACGATCTTTCAGCCACTGCATTTATGGTTTACTAATTAATCGTAGTTGCAATGATCATGAGAATCAAGTTAAGCAGAAACAACGCGTTGAACATTGATGGAACTGAACTAACTCATTCTTGTACCTTCCTGAGAAATTCTACACCTTGGTCGATTTCCGTGCTGTCACTCGATAGAGTGGCAGCCTCAGTTCTTGCATAGGAGAATCCCGTTTGAACAGGATGATCCACGAAAACGATACTCGCGACCTGTGTCCATGCGTGGGGATTAATGATCAAGGAAGGCAAACTCCCATTGTATTCCTCCAGCCGGAAATGGACCGGACCTAATGACACCCAACATACCGACACAAATTAGGAACACAGATTCCCCAGAGGCTGTTACTTAGAACATTGTGATGTGTACCGATTTCATGGAAGAGGCCAGACAAGGCAGAGCAGCCAGGGCCGCCGGTGAGCCACAGCACAAGAGGGTCCGTTTCAGGTTTTCCCTGCGACTTGACCAAGTAGTAGAAGAGCTGCACATCCTCCGATTCTCCCACGCCCACATACCTTAAAAGGAAGGAAGTTAGTTCATCAGGTAAAAACAAAGCCAAAAAAGTGCCCTCTTCTGCGTTACATACCCAGTCTCGAAATAGAAAGGCAACTGGCCGTCGAAGCCTGGAAGGTACTTCACTGGCTGTGAGGCAGAGGAGGGAAGCCACGGGAGGATGAAGCAGCAGCAACTTAGTAGGATGGAGAGGTGGAGAAGGAGAAATGGTCGTCTCATGGTTTGGCAATTTGGGTACATTGGTGAGTCCAAAGCTCCTCGCTTTTCATCATCACCACCAGTTCACCACCAAGTCTAAATAAATGATGCACATGTTTCTTACATACTAGAGATAAGATCGGGGCCAGTCCAGCTGACAACTCCTCAAACTTGAGCACAATGTCATAAATACATACAATACTGGGTCTGGGGGACCAGCTCTATGAGTGAATTTATAACCTCAACCTTCCACGCAATCCATATGATCCTCACAATTGCAGAAGATATATTGGTCATGATTTGATTTCATGTAAAGTGCATCCAACTTAGTTTGCCAGTAAAGGCTCTCCTTGCTACTCTTTGAGGGCACATTTGCCAAGTCAAGAAACATGTCCTGTACATCTATCACTTACAATCTCTCTTTGTTGCTTTCGGTTTGGAGCTGTTTCAGTTCCTTCTGAACTTGCTTCCTCTCCCTCAGGAAACAACATTGCTGTTGAGAAAAACGATTTACATGTGATCGCTCTAGGGAACTGTGATCTGTACGGATCACTGAGATACTTGACAAGCAATTGAACTTTAGATCGCGTTTGGGGTACGCAATCTGCGTTTACCGATTCCATGTGATGCGATTAGTTGGAGATGGCTAGTAGCATCGCTGTGTGGAATGCAGGTGAAACTGTGGGAAAGGCATGGATTGCTGAGCTATCACTCGATCAACTCTTGATCACTTTCGATGAACGCTATATGTTCGTCACCTCCGTGCCACAACGAATCCCCCTTCCCTATAAATACCCACCCTCCCCTCTAGGGATGGCAACGGGTCGGGTCGGGTCGGGAGAAGATAGTGTATATTCATTAGTGTTGGGAGTGACACTAGGAGGGCCCGAATGAAGGCCCATCGAATCAAGAGCGGGCTCTCAGGTAATTACCTAGCAGAAAGGGCCCTTGAATGAGCCCATGAAGCTCATTCCAGGCAAAGTAAAGGGCGCATAAAGACAAAGTACTAAAGGCCAAGGAGGTCCAGGCTGCCAAGTGGTTCCTCGTCTGAGGCGCCTGGCAGTTGTCAGAAGCCTGACAAGGTGGTTGGGGCATCTGACAAAAGGGTACAAGGCATTGAATGAGGTGATGACGTGGAGGAGATCAACCTCGAGTTGGGTAAGTATAAATAGAGGCAGTTGGTGGCATTTACACAGATTGGACTCTCTCACTAAACTCATATCCTTCATACTTCTCTCACTAGAAAGGAACTGACTTGACCGTCGGAGGGCTAACGGGCCCGGGCGCCCCCCTCTGTGTTCGTATGTGTAGGCAGGCGCCAGCACTGAATAGTCGACGCAGTGACAAGGCGAAGGGGCTCAAACAGTTACTCTACCCAAAGTAGTTCGGGTTTTAGCCATACCCATACACACATGAGAAACGGGTAGAAAATCAAAACCATGCTCATACCAGTTCGGATTTCGGGTATCCACGATTCTCCATGGATAATAATTTCTCTTTATAACTCCAACCAATATGTTAACAGTCACATATATTCTCACATTAAATGAGAAAAGTACGACACTAATTAACCAGAATGAAGAAAATTAATTAAAACAACACTATTTCATGAAAATATAATATTTATATGTCAAATATAAAATATATTTGAGAAAAATAATGATTATTTCTAGACAAAATACACATGCATGTGTATAATCGGGGCATGTGTATAATCGGGCGAGTTCGGGTTGGATAGTGAGAAAACCATGTCCACCCATTACCCTTAATATTCGGGTTCGGGTTTTAACCGTGCCCACTAAAAGTCCTTCGGGTTCGAGTTTTGACCCTAACCGATAAGGTCGGATTCGGGCGGATACCCACAGTTACGGATATTTTTATCATTCCTACTCCACTCCTCATTTATTCACACCACCCCAACTTTCTTCCGCCCTTGCTCACCAAAAAAAAAAAAAAAATTTCTTCCGCCCTTTAAAAACTCGATCTGCGGTTGCGGCTAAAGGCGACCTTCCACACAAACAAACAAAAATTTCGTGACTTGTGATACAACTCTTGCCCTCTAAAAACTGGATCGAACCTTTGTCCGGTTTTTGTCAAAAATGAACGAAGAGACTTTTAGGGTACCTTCTTGTTTTTCATTGTATGATTTATTGTTCACTAAATTTGTCATATAATTGAGACTTTTGCTATTTATCAACGTGAATTATTTGAGAGACACTATAAAACTAATAATGTCTTAATAGTTTAATCATGATTGACTCGTTTATTTTTGGAGTACAAATGATATTTTTGGAGTACTGATGACTTTTGCCCAAAATGCTCCAAATCAAGGAAGGATTAAGAGCAGGGGCGGACCCATGCATTAGCAAGGTGTGTCAACCGACACACCTTGACTCGGAAATTTTGTGAGAGATCCATGTTTCGTTGGTACAAAAAACTTGAATTCGGAATTTCTGACACACCTCACATAATTGCAAACGACACACCTTTAATACACTACATTGATTTTGATGTCATATAGCAATAGGTACCAAAATACACAAATATATATTATTTATTTTAATTTCTAGTGAATATGTCGAAAGGAAAAAATCCACAACCCATGGCTCACAGTTCTCTGTCCTCTGCTCCACTCTCTAATTGTTAGCACCTGCCGGTGGAACCTCATCCTCTTTCAAACTTTTACGTTAACGCCTGTCACCAACGTTCCTGCTTTCCATTTTATGCTATGGAGTTAATCAAGAGTGAACTTCAAAATCAGTTTTATGAATTAATTTATACTTTTGTACGTCGATAAAATTTTAATCACACCATAAGCGACAAATATATTTTACAAACCTTTATGAATATGAAAAGTTATCGTGTGTCACTGTGAAAGAATCCTGTGTCATTTAATTTATTAATTATTTTTTGACTGCCGACACACCTATTAAAGAATCCTGGGTCCGCCACTGATTAAGAGCGAAGGATTATCTGTTGTAGTGATATGATATTGGACTAGAATTTGAGAAGAAACCATTTGAGATGTTTGAAGGAAAAATGCATAAGTGTGAGAGGAATTATCATCATCTCCAAATTCATTATGGTTATGAAACATTAGCCACTGTCACCACCTTCACAAAGTCCATTTGAAGCTCATAGAACAACTTAGAGCAAAGTGATTGATAAGGCAAAAGCGTAATGCCTCAATTCTATCTCGTAATAAAACCGGAAAGTCCAGGTATCGTCTCTCGGGAACTGGTACAACCTTATATTCTATCAATTTTATGAGCAAACTATAAGTGGAAATAGTTTAATGAGACTAATTTCTAAAAGCAAAATAAAATAAACAAAGTAACTAAATGAAAACTGTCGGGAGAAATTCAATGGAGAAAGCTCTGGGAGAAACATCGGAATTCACTATCTATCTCATATCCAAATTAATTCACGTATTCCAATCAGTTTAATTCATATCTCTACAGCTAGGATATCTCTACCGTGCTAGCTATCGCTTTCGGGAATTACTACGTACTAAACAATTAAATCAAATCCTACTGTCGTAGTTCAATGACTTAATTATTTAGCCTGAAGATCGATATCCTATTTAAGACCGCATAACACCTTATTTAATCTACTATCGCTTCGATAAGTTACTATGTCACATTAAATATGTTCAGTTAATAGGATTTTACAGTCGCTAATAACCTAATTAACTACAAATCAATGTATTGGTGACCAGTCAACACAAAGCATTAAACAATTCCATGCAATAGAGATTGAAAGAAGAGAAATATGAATCAATCCATCAAATTTAGAAATAGCTACATCCTATAGTATTTCCCTCAGAAATCGGAGTTTAGTTCATAATGAAATCAAAAGATATAATCATCTTAATAATCATCATGTCACGAATCAAAGCAAAAGAAAAAAATATTGAGATTTTCTTCCCACTGCTAGCGATCGCCGCAACAGCTGCTTCTCTCCGCTCGTTCGCCAATCGCCAATACCTTTGCCAAAGAATTCTTCTCGCTCCGCTGCTGTTGTTCTGCGATGTCCTTGTTCGCTAGCCAGTCCTGCGCTGCTGCTTTTTGCGTCCCCGTTCCTCCAAGGAATTCCGTCGCTGCTCCCATTAATTGCTTGGCCCAGGAATTCCCAAAAGAATTTTCGGTCCAACTCCCTCCATTCACTTCCCCGGGCCCGGTCCAAGTCCAACCTTCACTTCCGTCCTTTCTTCTCTCGCTAGAGGACAAAAGACATGGTCAAAAAAATTCTACGAGCAACTCCAATTCTCATCCAACGCTGTATTCCAATTTCCTCCCCATAAAAGGAAAACTACTTGGTCCATCAAATTCCAAATAATGCTCCCTCTGCTCAGTTCTGTGTGACCAACAACAGTTACAAAGGCTGGCACAGTCGCTTATGATTAGAGAATTAATTCCCTCCAAGCCCGTGTTATTGCAGTATGTAGGGATGGCAATCAAATCCATGGTCGCGGGTACCCGACCGCCCCCGATCCAGTTAACGCGGGGAATCCCCGCTTTGATCGGGTATGGGTAAAACCCGCAAAAAGTTTGATGGGTATGGGGCGGGTATGGTTTTAGCCTCTCCCACCCCATACCCATACCCATACCCGCCCCACCAAGAGAATTTCTTCACATATAAAAAAAATATGTGGATCAAATTTTAATCTATCAATGGTGATGAGGATAACTCGAGGAAATAAATAGTAGAAATGCAATTGAGTGACCATCTTAATAAAAACCTAATTCATTTCCCTCAATTATCCTTTCACTCTTTGACTTTCCCCCTTGTCAACAAGATTATGTTAGTTAATTATTACTTAGTAGATGAATCAGAGTTAGAACATGATAATTTGAAAAATATTATACTCTATATTATGTATTAATGGTTGTTTTAGGATCATATTCTTTGAATCGTATTAAGAAAATGACTGTGTTTTGTTGACTTCGTAATATAATAGGTTCGTTTAGAGTTATAATTAGAACTTTTCTTTTAAGTTTTAGGTATAATAACGTTAGATGTACGGGTACGGGTATTATCCATGGGTACCCGAAACCCACGGGTATGGGGATGGATTTGCAAAACATTCTTCCGCATGGGTATGGGGCGGGTATGAGTTTGGGCATTTGAAGATGGGGATGGGGATG